TGTTGTAGTTGTAGTTGTGAAGTTTGCTGGTATAGTCATGTTGTTGTTAAACTGTTACAGTTAATGGTGGTGCCTAACGGAAGGGGTTGGGGTGCGTTGGAGAGCAGTTTCATTAAAATTATTCACCCAACGTGCTGCCTGACTGCATTTTAATTGTTTGCTGCTTTAAAATTTTGCAACAATTTCAAAAAGTTCGAAACTATTTTAAAGTACGTTATCAGTTGAGTTTCCGGTTATAGCCGTCCTGCATGTGTATAAAGTGTTTAATATTCCAATTAAGCACATTTTGTAAAGTTTTAGAAGAGTTTTGAAGTTAATCTTGATAAATTGGCTAATTTTTTACATAAATGTTGCATTTATTGCAATACAGCAAACTGGTCCATGGCGCTGTATTAAATTATTGCCAATGTAAAGTTAAGTAAGAGAGTAAAGTAGAAATTTTTAACTTTATTTTCGAACAAAATTTGTTAAAAGTTGAATGAATTTATAATTAAAACTAAACAATCATTTTTTGTTTTGTATCAGAAAATTATTTTGAATTAAATGAAATTTTCATGATTATTTAGCTGAGAGTTTGTCCATTGAAACTTTAGCGCAGGTCAAACGAATTTCTGTTATTTCAGTTTTAGTTTATTCAATAAATGCGATTGAATTACTTTGTCAATCATAAAATAACGCTGGGTGCAGTACCATAAAGGTAGTAGAACAGTATGTTACCCGAAGTATGTTTCATTAATGGTATTAATGGTATTACAAACAGTTAACAAACCAAAAATTGCAAAACGATGCTTAATGTACGTTTTATTAATTAAATAATAATTATTAAATACATCTTACCCAGAAAGAAAAAAGGAGCTGGTGTATATATACCCGTTTTGTGGTATACTTGTAGTTCTGTACGATAAAGAACTACAATAGGCCTTTTCTTTTGTAAGCATATCGCAAAAGAACAACATAAAATAAGCAGTACCTTTGATGGCAACTCTGGAAAAACTGGAAACAGCTTATAGCTATATGCAAAACACGTAATAAAATTTAAGTTGAATTTTCGGAAATGACTAATAATTCTTTGCAATTATAGGTAAAAATATTTTATTTTTTACTTGATTGTGAATAAAATTTGTATTTTTTTAGGCTTTTACAATATTAACAAAAAAAAGTAGTAGATTAAAAAGAATTGAGTATTATTTGTCAAATATTTGTTGACAGTTAACTGGATATTTTGTACGTATGTCCAAAAACCATTCCTGGCAACCATGCGATTTGAGCTGTTTACCAACCACCACTATTCTCCAGGTATTGTCATTGAACAATATACTGAGAGCATGGCTTTGTAACTATAATATGGTTATGAGACCGTGACAGTGACAAAGCTCCATAAGCTGGAGTTTTGAGCACAAAGAAAAAGTGTGCAGATAAAACTATATCAAAAAAACCAATTAAAGCAGAAATCATTTATAACGATACCTAATATTACAACCAACCGGATTTAATGACTGTTCTTAAAATCGAATTGAATTATATTCGCAACAATTTGAAACACTGATAAATGTCTACAAAATTTTTTATTATAACTAATTGCTTTAATATTATAAATATTATAATTATTATATGCGATCTGGAAGTTGCTTTATTTTTCGAGAATGATATTTGTAGTAAATATACTAATAATAAACAATATTATCTCCAGTTACAAGTTGCTTATAATATGTCAGAGTATATGATTAAGTATCGATTGGTAAATCGGGGGTAATTTTTTTGATCACGATGATTCTCTTTTAATGCACTTTTACTGCATTTTTATTTTCGATTGGTAAATCTGGGGCAAAATGTTTACTACTCCACATTAATTTATAATACTTAAGATATATTACCAGAGTAGCAGGATTACACTGAAATTACAACTGTTTTATATGAGGGCTGCTATATATTTCTGGCCTAATAATGAAAATGCGAATATTTATCATCAAAAATTATTTTATTGTTTTTGAAAGTATTCTCCAGCCGGATTTATAAAACATGGTTTTTTAACGCTTCAACAGCCTCTTCTAGAGACGAAAATCGTTGACCACGCATTTTTTTCTTGATGTGCGGGAATAAAAAGAAGTCAATGGGTGCCAAGTCAGGGCTGTACGGCGAATGACCCATCAATTCGACGTCTTGGCCGGTCAAAAAGTCGCTGGTTTGAGCCGATGTGTGAGAGCTTGCGTTGTCATGGTGAACAATGATTCGTCTTCTCTTGTTCGTTTTTCGAATTTCTCCGAAGACTTCAGGCAAACAGGCTGTTATATATGCAGCCCTCGTATGATTTCGCAGATAAACTGTGATTTGATTCGATATATGTATTTGCGAAAAATGTAAATGCGTACTCACACGGCTACTGTTAGATTACTCTAACAATGTTCGATTGGACAATAAAATTTGACAGATCGTGAATAAATCTAGAATGAATCTAGATTTGCCAAACAAGAAATAAGTGAAAGGGTATTATGATTAGGAAGAAGTTAAGATAAATTAAAATTGCAATGAATTTCGAATCTTATAAATTATTCACACTCTTGATGAAAATAGTTAAAAACAAATCCAAATAAATTGCCTGATAATCCCTTATTCAAGAACCCCCGAATATTATATTTCAGCGTAATTTTTATGATAAAATTTATTTCCATAATTTCGTAAGAAAGGTGCGTGCGTATGTTTGAAAATGTGTTACCGACGAAACTAAATGCCTCATTTATAATCATTTTACCAAGGTCTAAATTTATTTTTCAGTAAAATAAGATTATTTAAAAGAAAAACAAAAAGAAAAACAATATTTTTAACACAATAAAGAAGATGGCTTGTTATATTAACCGCCATTTTGCATTTTCCACACAAAAGGATGGGCATAATTCGCCGTTAAATAAACTGGAGTGAAGTGAAGCGGAGTTCGGTGCCGCACTTGTGACAGCGGCAATGGCATATCAGCGCCATTATTTGACAAGTTTTTTGTCTTCACATGTGAACGCGAATTTTCCCAAACTGTCAGAACATTTCGTCCTTGAGCTCATATTGACTGCAGTCGTGTATACAAAATATCATTATGCGAATTTACGAAAATATATGCAGGGAAAAACCGACTGCCTCCGGTAAGGATGCAAAGTGGATTTAAGAGTATATTTCAGTTTAAGTTGACAACAAATCATTAAAAATTGTTGATGTTTTTTTTGGATTTCCCTTTACAAAAACTTGTAAGGACTGGATTAAAAATTGAGGGAAAAAATTGTATTACATTTTAAATGTCTTCAAAAATGTATTTCAATAATAACAACAACGACATGTAATGGTTTTAATATACGATATTACATGTACTCTATCTACTCTATTATAAAAATTCATTTTTAATGAATTGCCTTTTGTGTTGTGTGTTTTTGTGCTGTGTTGTGTTCGGTTGTGTTGTATTGTGTATTCGTTTGTCGACTTATTTCAATAAGATTGCCTCTCAGGGAGATATTTTCATGAAAGTCAAAATATATCTCATGATGTTTCTTACCGTCTGTATGAGTATTACATTTTTTTTTGTTACAGAAATATGCATTTAATGATGATATTTCATGTATTTTTGAAACTTTAAGTTAATAATATTATTAATATAAGTAATGAAGTATGAAAAGCTGAATTGTTAAGAAGATGTAATATGCTTTCAAGCAATAAACTTGATTATATAGTAATTTTGCTTCACAGAAAAAGGAATGAAAATTTAAATTTTGATTTTTCTCTTTATTTTAATACTGATAATAAATGTGATAACAAATTAAGGTAATGTTTGTTTCTAAAAATGGTAAAAATTTATGTCCAAATTAATTCTAATTAGAACAACAGACATGCACGGAGATCTAAGTATCGACTCAGTGAAAACATATATAAAAATAAAATATAAAATTATTCACAAAAGTCGATACGTTGACCAACCCCTCAGGACGCACAGGAAGATATGCTGATCTACGGTCCGTCATCAGTTAAAAGATAAATACTTGATAATAATTTTAGCATCGTTAAAGCTTAGTGTGAGACAGGGATAAGCCCCTCAGTCACAAAAGAGTGAAAGTGCACAATAGCACTAACTCAAACCACAACAACAACAACAATAATTAAGATTGTTAAAATGTTTTAAAGGTCATTGTTTTTATTCAGATCACGTACAATGAAAAAGTTGATCCATCAATATAAAAATAAAAACAGTTTTTTGAAAACTTTATTAATCTCCCGTGCATATTTTAATATTACTTAAAATATTTTTAACATATGTACATTTCACGCTCAAGAACCGAATACCCTCTTTGAGTTATTAAAACGACCATTTTGCGTTGTGGAAAACTCAGAACGACCGTGAAGCGAAATTGGTGTTATGACATATGTTAGAAAAAGTTCAACACGTACATGATTTGATATATTTATAAAAAGAAAATTATAGTAAAATATTAGAAAAAACGAACGCGCTGTGATAATTAAAAAATACTATAAAACCAAATATATATATATAATTATTTTAATTTTTATAATATTACTTCGTGATGCTAAAGTAATGGCTTTACTCTTTAAGCATGGATTGCAATATACGTCTAATAAAAATTGTTGCTGTCTTGTAAATCACTTCGTGGTTACACTTATTAGAATTTAGAATGACTTCTGGCATTTCTGAATTTAAGCAATATGTTCTGGCTATTTTTATTAGTGACATAATAAGAATTTCGCGTTGTGGCTGTTTATAAACCCCCACAACGCGTTATGTCTCAATGAGTAATAAGTTTTTGAGCCAAAAATAAATAATATATAAAAATTGGTTAAGAATCCGGTTATTACACTAAAAAATTAAAAACATTTGTAAAAAGATTTTTATCGGTTTGGCATTGAAATTTCTCAAAAGTTGTCATATTTTTTTCATTTTAATTTAAATTATTTTATGAAACAGTTTCATATATTTAAAGCTAGTGTGTGTTTCACTTTTTGTGCTTAAAAATTAATAAATAAGATTTGGTTGTGGTATTGTTTTTGTGTACGGGAAAAAGTCCTTCTACAATATATCATATATTCCTGATACATTTTTAACTGGAAAGGTAATATAGTTATTTAACTGAAATGTATAAGTTTACAATTAACCATGAAGTGTTTCTTCTTTTGTGCAATATTCTTAGGTATCTAGCTTTGTAAGATTATAACTATTTTGAATTTCAATAAACTTATCGGAGACTATTGTTTGGACTATTTTTGAAGAGCATCTGATTCACTGTTGCTGTTGTGTAAGTACATTGTTATATATTTATAAATAATTAGAAGAGAATTGTTTAATTGGTTTTAACAGCCACTGTATAAGTAGTTGTTCGCTGCTATTATTATTATTTATTTAATTTGTTTAATTTATAAATCCATTAATTGAGACAGGTTATTGTATGTGGATAGAATAAGCTATTAATTTTAGAAAGTGTTAGCATAAGTATATCTACGGTGCTAATTTCCGGTTGCTAGCCACCATTGTTGCCTAGTATTGTCGAACAATATACTGAGCGCATGACTTTGTTACCTTATGGTTATGACGCGGTGTGAGTGACAAAGCTGAAGAAGCTAGGGTTTTGAGCAAAAAGAAAATAGTACACAGATTTGTTGACATTAGGTTGGGCTAATTTCATACATCACCTATTGCATATACCATAAATTGTTATTATTAGATCCTGAAAGCGATTGTATTAAAGAATTTTAAGGGTTTCTCGTTCGAAGAAAAACTGATTAATGGTGGATATTATTTATTTAGGTGTTTAAAATATTTTTAATTTGTCAAGCAATCGGAGCAAATCATATTCTAATCAGTATATCAATTGTTGAAATTTGACATTTGAATTCATTAAGTTAAACTAATTTTTTTAGAAATCATTGTACTACATTTTCTTGTAAAGTTTGTTTCAATTTTTCTCCTAGAAAATTTGGTGAGTAGTATGAAATTGTGATAAATATATTTAATTAAACTTATCAACAAAATATTTTCGCTATAAAAATAATAAAAAGCTATATTAATAAAAAATTTGTTCGTTCTATTTTGTACCACTCTATTATGTATTAATATTATAACTTCAGGTTCTGGATATATTTCGATCTTAATTCATGTCTTTACTTGCTGGCCGAAAAGATAATTTTCGCAAATAAACAAAGGAATCTACTCTAAGGAATTGTGTAAGTATATAACTTTATTGCTGATTACAATAAACAGTTGACACATAAAAACAATTTTTTTTTTTAACAGAAGAGTTTAGTTATTATTATTATTTAAATGTTTAATTATAAAAATCAAAAAAAATTATTTATATCTCTTTTATCAATATATAATTTATAAAAAGCGTTAAAAGCTTTCAAAGTCGGCAGCTTTTTGAGCTAAAGAGTTATACAGATAGTGAGAGTTATTCAGCGATGATAAATCAAAGAACTTTACTTAAGTTTTTTGCTAATAAGAATTACTTTCTGTAGACTGTGCTGTACTTCCACAAAAAATTTTATATCAATTTTTTTAATTTTTTAATTATTATAGTAGTTAAGTACTTATAAGTACTTATAAGCTTAACTGATTAAAGAAATCAATTAAATTGTTGCATTTTTGATATAAAATATATATGTCTAGGCTTCTTTTTAGTCTTTAATATTTTGTGTTTATTTTATTATATTTACTATATTCATGTTTTTATAAAATCTTGTCATTTTAATTCTTTATCGCTAAATCAGTGTCTTCTTCTTCGAGCAATCCATTTAACACTCGAAGATATCTCAATATTTTGAAAGTCGGGAATTGATTTCTCCAAAGAACGTAAGTGTGTTTTGTATTATACACGTGTTTTATATTGAATATATATATATATATTTCATGTTTATAGTATGAAAGATATATATTAAATTAGAGACGTGGTTAATTTTTTTGTTTTGCATAGTTATATCAGTGATTATTATTTCCTTCATAAAATATTACATTTGTTTCTAGTTACATTACTTCGATTGGTGTAAACTGTGCAAGAAAATGGTTATACTAAAGCAAAAGATTCAAATAACTCCAGGCTTCTCTAATTTTTTACGGGAATATACTAAGAAGCAAATGCATAATACTCGCAACTCTCTTATTATGACTGCAGTCAACAAATGGTGTTATTTAAGTGCTGGAAAGAAAAACTATTATCGTTATATGGTAAGTAAAAATTTTTGTATTTGGTATATATATGTATATACTAATAAGTAAGACATCAATCTTACAAAAGAAATTGAAGCCCAAACATTCCAACAAGCAAAAACGTTCTGCTGTTAAGAAGCGAAAGGTCTTCACAGTTAGAAACAAAGCTTATGGCTCCAAAAAACCAAAAACCACTGGACAGGTTACAAATGCTGCTTACTTTAATTATCTACGGCACTTTCTCCGTGTTAATGGTGGCATAGAATCGAAGGAGTTGATAAAAAGGGCTGCAAAAAATTGGTGCAAAATGAA